ATACGGGATAATTGTCTCTCATATTTTAGCCTGACCGATAAAAAAATAAGCGGCATATCATTTTACTTGTTAATTATCAATTAAATTATATATAAATAAAAAATAATATTTTAAAATTTGTTTAAGAATTTTTTTAATATATGGTAATTCATTATAATATCATAATATTATATGTAAATAAATTTGATAATAATATTTTTAAATTTAAAAATTTAATTTATTATAAATATAAAAATTTTATTTATTTATTTTTAAATATTAATTAAATAAAATAGGTGATTTTTATTTGATTTTATTTGATTTAAAATTATTTTTTTATATTGTTTATTATATAAATTTAAATAAATTAATTAAAAACAATTATAAATAATTAAGAAGTTTAAAATTTCAAATTAATTAATTAATTATTTTTTTTTTATTTAAATAATATTTACAATTCAATAAAATTTCTTATAATAATTTATATATTTATTTCAAAAATTTTAATAAATTCTATAATTAATATTTTTAAATTCAAATTTATAAATTAATATTTAAGCTTTGATAATTTTTTCAAATTTATATAAATCTATCATATTTTTATATAAAAACAGTATGATATAGTTTAAAGTTAATTTAATTTTATAAATTGATTTTATATTTTAATTTAATTTTTTGGTTTTAATATATACCATATACTGTATATTAAAAATTATAAAAGAATTTATAATATAGTTAAAAAACATATAACTTGATAAAATATCATGTAGTACCAATTTTTAATTATCGATAAAATTAATTTTTAATAATCTGTATATAATAATAATATTCACAAGTTTAGTTGTTTTTTTTTTGAAATTATTAATAAACTTGTATTTAATTTTAAGTTTTGTTTATATAATATAATTGAAAGATTAATAATTGGCTATATTCTGTATATTATTTATGATATTATTCAATAATATTCTTCAAATGCTAATATTAAAATCAAAGATAACAGAAAAAATAATATCAATACTTTTCAATGCTCTTTAAAAAATAGTAAAGTCAATTTGCATCAAGGATTCAAAAAATAAATCATATAATATCGCAAAAATCCATTACCATCAAGTCCAAATTAAAATACTGGAACAATTCCCTTTTATACTCTTTAATAAATACCAGTATTACAATATTAATCTGGGAAGCTGTGTCAAGTAGTGCAAAAAAAAAAACACTCTTTTTAAGTATATTTATCTTACGATTATTGTTATTGTTATTTCTATTTTTATTGTTATTAGTTATGTTATCGATTTTACAATTAAAAACAAATAAATTGATAGTACAGTAAAATGATATGCCGCTTATTTTTTTATCGGTCAGGCTAAAATATGAGAGACAATTATCCCGTATATTATAATGAAAATCACGAGGCGTTATTATTGGTATGCGGCAATTGATGGTGAGTTAACGTTGAAAAAAAAACAAAAAATACCCATACAAATTGCGATTGTAAAGATCATTTAAATTAGATTTATTTACAGGTATAAAAAAAAAAACTAGGATGGACGTAAAAACAGCACAGTAACGCTGTATTTGGGTTGATTATCAAGGTCACGTCCACTGTTGATTAGAAAGTTATTGTGATTTTTATTTTATTTTATTTTATTTATTTATTTATTATTATTATTATTGCCATTATTTATTCATTTCAATGATATCTTATTAAGATGGAATCCTGGAATTCGATTTTTAATTAAATCAATTTCTCAAGGATTGCTCGTGGTTCAGTGCATATTACATGTTGTGCATCGACTTTCAATTCTGATTGTCACTGTTGTTTGCCCGCAGTCTTTACAAATAAAAAGGCGGAGATGTTACAATTGAAATCTTTATTGAACTTAATCTGGTTCTCTCGGAAATTGTTCACCCTTATTTCCGATATCAGGAAGTATCGTCTGATCATATTTAAAATTCCCTAACCACCGAGCAGGAAGTAAGTATTTACAAATACAGTTTAAAGTTCGATTCTTCATTGGTACCATTTTTCTTCGTACAAAATTATTCGACGATGCTTATCGTCATTTTGGATGTGCATACATTGTTTCCATGATCCTGATTTTGCAATTATCATGTGTATCACGTTCGTCGGCAAACCTCACACAGAAAGAAGCGTTTCGAGGGAAGTACAGATAACGGTAACGCAACAGCAATTGGTCGGTAACAGATTACCTGTAATATGACCTTGCACAATTCTTCGAAGAATCTTTTTATCTGTTTATTGTACACACAAATGTCAAGCGGAAATGCATATGACCATTCGAGAGTCAAAAGTACCGTGTGTAAATACCGTATATAAAAAAAGCTGATCTCACCCATATTCAGAAGAGGAGTCGGAGTTCTGGGATAACATCACCGCCGTCACTTCGATAATTAACTAGGATCATAAAGTATGAGAGTTTCAAATACGTAATGGACGTCGGCTCTTAGTCCTTTTTGACTGTACATATTAATAGAAATTAATGCGGAATAAATAATAATGAAAAAATACCTGGCACAAGATGGTTAGAATATAAGGCTTCTGATAATGGTAATAAAATTCCAGTGATAAGAATTTCCCAGGTTCCCGTGCGCATTCTCACGAACGTGGGGGCGGGACAATGATATGTAAACTCATACAATCGTATGCGGGTACGTAGCACTATATGCGCTGTAATCATTAACATGTAAACAAACAGTGAACTATAATTCCATTTACTATTGAGGAATGTGCATATACGTTATGCATTCAAACGGATTTAATAGTGCGTATGTAAGTGATACGAAATGTTACCTTCTTGGTTAAGTTATGCAAGATATAAATGTCCTTTTTAGTTATTCTATTGTATGAAAGACTAGGATGAGAAAACAAACGATGAATTTCCATAAACTAAACTTATTGCATCATATGATGGTTTTACAAAAATCACTATCGAATCAGCACGTTTCGAACTGTTGAGAGTTTGGTGCACGTACAAACCTCGACATCATGCTTGCGTTTTGGGTATTATTTTATGTTGAGCTCAACAAAGGAGCACATGGAATGAAAAGGATATAAAATAACCACTTGAACGCTTACCTTTTTTTCTATAATCAAAGATAAAAAAGATAACAACGGTCTTAGATTAATCAATTGCATTGGAAATTAAAGAACCGGCGCATTTGAACCTTAACAATTCATAATTTAAGAACCTCCTGAAATAGATAAGGTGCAATATACATACTCTAAGTTCATTAACATTTTTAAAATTCATTTATAGAAATCTCACATGCTTACGATTATTACGATGAATTCCTTTAACTTATCACTTAGAAAGCAATTTCATAGATAAAGAGATTGACAGAAGGTACAATACAAAAACCTATAAGAAACACGCGATCCGTTTTATTGAGTAATTCAGAGACGACCGCACAAAAGGTTATTGTTCTTGTTCTCCTTTATTCCCGTCTAACCTTTTCGCAGTTGTCACACGTTCTGCTTTCTCACTGCATTTTTCTTTGATCACTTAGCTCAGCAAAAATCACCGACATAATATTCGAAAGGTAGAGTTATTATTATTTTTTTTTTTCCTCGAACATAGTGAGAGTACCTCGATATATGGTAATGTAGTGATGACAGCAAGGAAAAGATCGCACTAATCATACCATGCAACATTTCCTTATGGTATCACACGAATGCAAGGTGACATATGACGATTGATCAGGGAAAGTCCAAAGTTCCTTGAAAAAGGTTATCTTTGCAGACGTCAATTATTGAAACAAGGTTCATCGGACAGAAATTTCAATCGATTTAGAATGCATATATAGTTTATAAATATTATTATTATCCCTCGTTCAAATTCGCTAATCTCCAATTGTTTGGTGATGCTCAGGTACATTCGGTCATCCATATTCGAGACATCGAAACCATAACTCGAATTTCGGAATAGAGAATAGATAAATAACAATGACTCAAGTCAATGATGACATAATAGGTTTCTGGGGTAACCCAACTGCAACAGGTATGCATTGTCATCCCATAAATAACTTCTTTTGGCATCTGCTGTCTCACAATTTAATTCGATTTCTTTCATTTTTGCAATTTACTGTGGATTCACTTCGAATAACAGTTGGTAAGTAGAAACATGATGTTGCTAATTTCTTTTTCTTTTTCTCTTCTTCAATAAAATGATTTTATTAACACTTATGCAAAAATCCGTTCTAATTCTCCTTAACAAGATTGGTGCGAGAAGAACTATGCAGTCACACATTACGTCGCCGAATTTTTCAATACTTTATCATCATTGTGCATGGTAGGTGCCGGCGCGTTTGGAGTTTACATGCATTCTCAAGGATTCGAAAAAAGATTTCAAGTATGTTTTGCCACGTGAGTATCCACTTACAGTACCGGTAATTCGATTCACTTCTATTTGAATGAATTTTAATTTCTCTCTGTTTCGCAACAGAATAATCGTGGTGGGCATAGGATCAATATTATTTCATGGTACTCTATTATTCTCACTACAACTATTCGACGAAGTACCCATGATGTTCTGCGTGCTCGTTTTATGCTATTCAGTGATTGAGAATAGAAAAGAAAGGAAATACGGCAATTGGTTCCCGGTGGCATTAATCATCTGGGGACTCGCGGTTACTGCGATAATGGTGATTTCTGGTAGACATTCTCACGACGGAATGATGCAAGCGATAGAGTTCTATGTGTTTCAAGGTTGGTTTTTTTTTTTTTTTTTAATCTCTTTCTACCTCCTCCTTCACGAGTCACCGTCTAACCTTTCTTCGCGCCTCAGGATCATTTGTGGTGATGGCTGCAACGGTGTACCTACATACCGTCGCGATCGTCCTAAACTCCAAAGCTGGAAAAGGCGTGACAAAACTCTGGACGTCGGGTAGTGCAGTATTCTTGATCGGATACATCGGATGGCATGTGGATATGCATTTATGTTCAAGCATGTACTCGTTGCCGTTTAACGTACCAAATCCTCAATTGCACGCCTGGTGGTAAGTTTAATGTTTGAGGTCAAATTAAAGAAGGAAAATTTCTTCATCCCATGTTGACCACTTCTTTATTTTCCTGTAGGCATCTTACTGCCTCCTACGGAAGTTATCTCATTTGTGCCTTGATCGCGTACGATCGATCAATGAGGCTTGGCAAGAGTCCAAAAATACGATGGATCGCACATATTCTTCCGTACGTTGAATTACCACAACCTTCGCTAAAAACGTATTCTGAGGAAAAGGATGCATTGGAAAGGATTCCGTTGCTTGCTGCAGAGAACGAGAAAGAGAGTACTATAATAAGGGAAGACGAAATTAGGAATATGAATGATTCCATTTTTGCCAAGAACGACGCAACATTATCACAAAAAACGTTGATGAGGGAGGAAAAACAAAATGCCATCACCACGAATTCAAAAAGAAGATCAAATAACAACGGCTTGGCGCAGAAAAAACGCTTGAGTAATGTAGAGGAGAAAAGGGGAATAATGAATTGGGTGAATAGTATCGAGAAGAAGTTTAGGATGATTATTAAGACATAAAATAAGTGAATATTTCAGAACCCCAAACTAAGAAAAAGTTTCGGTGTATATAAATACATTTAGATACGTCAAAATTCTACTTTTTGAAAAACATTTTATAAAATTGTTATTTTTAATATTTGATAAAAAAATAAAAAAAACCATGATTTTTTGACACTCGATAAAAAATAACCCAAGAAAATATATCAATAAGTTAATAATATAAATTCACCATTGAGAAATCAATCGATTTTTTTAAAAATATAAATTAGTGACAACTTCATTAATTTCTTTTAAATTACATTATATACTATACATGCATATATACATTGTATGTTATTTGTATTTGTTGCAATTCTATTATGAGTCTGGAACTTGGCGAAGGACCACGGTATATAAAAAAATGCCCACCCCTGTATTAAATTACTCAAACTGTCAGTCAATCCACCCCTGTATTTAATCGTTTACGCATTAACACAATGAAATAAAGAAATACACTCGATGCTACATTATTTTGGCATAATAGAAAACAATCGCTTTCTAAACTTTTGACTCTGGATTTGACAACGGTTTTCATTTCCTAGTTCATATATTTACGTATATACCATATGTTATTCTCGAATATTTTGACATGTACAATTTTTAAAAAATATTCTTTGATTATATATTAAAAAGAATCAAAAATAGAATATATTTATGTATTTTGATTAAATATTTTTGAATTTTTTAAAAATAAAATGTGATGTGGAATAACATGCGAATTGAATACTGTACGAGCTATATTATAAATTCATATACAGTATACAGTATATGGTAAATAAAATAACTTTAAGGTTTCAAAAAAAATTTTAATAACAGATAAAATAAAATAGATGTAACTATAAATCTAAGTTAATCATTATATGTATGATTAAAATATTTTTATAAAAAATAAGTAATATTACTTTTTTTAAAAAAAAAAATCAATTAAAATCATAATTTATTAATTGTATTGATATTAAAAAATAAAAATAAATGATATACAATATATTGTATCTTATTTATTTTTTTATTATATATTTTGGAATTAATAATACAAAAAATTGTTAAAAAATTAAAAAATTTATTAATTAAAAATATATTCTCAACTAGTAAGACCTTGTCTAATATATTTTATTTACAAAAATTATTATTTATAAACTATTCTAGATATATACTATACTATATCAAAGTTATTTCATATCAGCTTATTACTATTAACTTATCCAAAAGTATCCATTAAGATCAATATATTAAGACTTCATTAATATTATTATTGTATAAATAATAAAAATTAAAAATACCTATATTTTTTCCTGGCTCAACTATTTATCTATTAATTTTTATTATATTTTACTTGCTTTTTTGATTTTTTTAAATTATAATTTTTATTGCAATAAACTATTTGATTGATTATCACTTGTTGTATTATTTTTTTTTGCTTTTTTATTTCTTTTATTTCTATAACTTTAAAATTTGTAAAGTTTTTAAATATTTGATTTATAATAATTTTTAAAGTATTATTAAATTTATTTTATTGATTCTTTTAATAAGTTTAATTAAGTTCTTTTATAAACTCTTTTTATTATATATCTAAAGGTTTTTTTTTAATTATTGATACTATGTCTTAATTGATCTCTTTAATTAATTTTATTTTTTTATTTTTTTGTTTTATTGAATATTTTCTTTTTTAGAATTCTTAAATATATAGTTTTTATTTTATTTTTATAATGTTTACTGAGGATATACTTTATAGTTTTCTATTTTTGTATTAAAAATAATTTTTCTTTTTATACAAATCTGGTTTTTTTATATTTAGTTTATCTTTGATAGGAAGTTTTTATTAAGAAACTTGAATTTAAATATCCTAATATTATGATTCTATTAACTAATAAAAAAAATTTATAATTCTTACTAATAATAAATTTGGTTATATTCTTTTTCAATATATTGTTTTTTGTCTTAAATTATACTTTAAATTTCATTTGTATAGTCTACAATATATACTAATTTATTTGTTATTTTATTATTGTTTTATAAAATCATTAATATTTATATTTGAATTTTTGTTTTTTTATTTAAGTATACATGTCATATCTCTAATATATTATTTATTTATATCTATAATATATTTGTATCTTAATTTTATATTTGTTTTTACAAGTTTTCTATTTATTTATTATTTTTATTTCTTATATATATTTTAAATTTTTTCAAATTAGTTAATGCTATTCAGTTTTTATTCTTTTTTAAATAAGAGTTATTATTAATAAGTTTGTTTTTTTTACTATTTTTTGTTTTATTTAAAGTTTAAATTATATTATATACAGTGTGGAACAAAAAAAACCAGAAAATTTTTGTGAGACAAAAAATCTTCTAACTTGCCCAAATTTGGTTCAAATTGTGTCATTTTTTTTTTAGTATAAATACA